GGCCGTTCTGGGGCCGTTCTGTTGCAGTACAGGCCACCGCGTCACTTTTAAAATGGCTACCTTATGACTGATTTTAAAACCCCGATTTTAAAAGTCATTTTTGTACTAGTGTTTCTTTCCATAGAACAAGTAAGAGTCTTTCTCTTACAAGACCACCTGCTGACATTGCGCACCCCTCTTCTTTCTCTTTGTGGCACTCCTCTTCTTTTTTTTTTCGCACCTCGCACACCCCTCTTCTTTCTCTTTCTGGCACTCCTCTTCTTCTTCTTCTTACTGTTACGGAAAGTTCTTTCCGGAATTATATAAAAATGTTCCGGAAAATACTTTCCATAATATTAAATTCTTATTCCGAAAAGTATTTTCCAGAAATGTTTTGTTACATAATTCCGGAAAGTACTTTCCATAATATTAAAGTTACTATTACGGAAAGTTCTTTCCGGAATTATATGAACAATAATTTTACTATTCCAGAAAGTACTTTCCAAAATGCTAATGACTGTAAAAGTACTTTCCGGAATGCTAATGATTGTAAAAGAGCCTTTCTTATGCTGGTTATGGTGGGGCTAGTCCTTTTTTTCTATTCAGAATGACTGTAAAAGTATATTACTTAATGACATTGAGCGGAAAGAGATTTTGGGAAGAAGAGGGGTGTGAAGTGTGGAGTGCGGGGAAGGGAGGTGTAAATTTAAGAATTTTATTTTTTTTAAAAGAGTAATTTAGACATTTTATATATATATTTTTTTAAAAAGGAGGTGTATGTATACGAGAGTGGAGGTGTGTTTATCATCAGCCAAAAGTGAAAGGTATTGGATCATAATGGGCCTTAGTGGCTGTTTAACAGTCCAGACTGAACGAACCTTCTCAAGATAATAATGAAAGTGAATCACCATCTATTATGTGATTGACTTTTGATTTTTGATTTTTTTAATTTTACATCAATCTAATTATTAATTTGTAATACTTTTCAATGACTTTTTATTAAAATTTACTTCGTTCATAAGTAATATGACAACGGTTTTTAAATTAAGGAATAAATACTTGACATTGAAAAAAGTCCCGAGGAAGATAGGTCCTATCCAGTCTAGTGGTACGTACGACTACGATAATGAAGTAAATTTGTAAACTTTGAGGACCACACGCAGCTTGAGGACTCAATATTTAAATACTTCGTTTTATACAATTTTAAAATTATGATGTTGCATCACTATTTACTGGTTATCGTCTTATCTAAATATTTTAAAAAATTAAGAATACAAAAAATGACTTTTAAATTATAAAACTTTAAAAAGTTATATAAATATTAATATAATTTTTTTTAAAAGAGAATTTAAAGTTTGTTAATTTCGTCCCTCACCAATCCCACGTTCTATTATAAACTGAATTAATTATGTTTGTAAAATATTATTACTGTAATACTAAAATTTGTTTCCTTGCGCCAAAATAGAATGTACGGCTGGGACATCAGTTTAAAGGATCAAAATCAAACAGAAAAAAATATCTACGCAGATATACTTGAAATATGAGATAAGTATGTTTTTTAAAAACTACTTGCTGCTTTTAGACATTATGTCCACCTGAAAAATATTATATTAATTAGTTTTTAATGAGCAATTAAATCTGTTAAAAGTTAAAATCCAGATAAAACTCTTTTAGAAACTATCGTTCTAACTTTTAAGGGAGAATCATAGTCTACTTTTAATTTCATTATTATTTTTCACAAAATCCATCAAATATACTAATAAACAAGAGACAGATAACTAACAATTATTTCAAATACTAGTACTCCTTAAAAATAGAAAGTATACGTACCAAAATTATAACCTTTCTCCTTTGGTTTTGAAACTCAATTCAATGCCGAAAGTAACTGTCGATTCAATAGATAGAATCCAAATTCTAGAGAAGTTTTACCAATAAACAGGTTAAGTTTTGCCTTGAGAGAAACTTAAAACGCACTTCAACAAGATGAAAAATGCAACTCACATACTAGTAGAAGTATCAAACTAGTTCTAAGTTCTCATCGGCTCATGCATTCACTCCCCTATCATCATATTCAAGCCATATGAAAACAGGAATTGATGGCTACTTTTTGAATTATGATTGAAATGATGGATGGATAATATTTATCCATTGATTAAACACCAAACTTTTTCGAGAAAAAATAAAGACTAGTGCAAAAACATGAACATGAAGCTTCAGAAAATGGATGTAAGAGGTTCAGCTGATTTACACTGGTCCAAGGATAACCATGAAATCATCATTTGACTAAATACAACAGTATTGATGACTTGATGCCATTGGTCAAAGTGTGATAGTCACCAATGACAGTAAACTCATCCAAAGCTAGGCATTGTTAAAAGTGCATTTAGATGATAATCTATTTAAATTGTTTTCATAACTAATATTGTTTCATAAGACTAATTAACTGTTGTGATGAACTCTACAGGTTTTGGTTAGCAGCTTAAGAGCAAAATGAACTACAACAAGTAGATACAACTACGGATCAGGACTAAAGTAGCTCACAACAATAAGGTGGTGGCATCAGAACCTACAAATTTCAGGATGGAACACATTACATTTGTCTGAAAATGAAAGTACTATTCTAGATTTTTTTGAGATCACATGGCAAGGCTCATTTTAGTAGCTTCCATTTTGGATAACAGATCTTTAATGTCTGTTTCCATTCTCCTTTTCATGTTCAAATACTCCATATGTGCCCTCTCTAATGTTTGGAGTTCTTCAAATTTTTGTTTTCGAATTTCATCAGTCTCGGTCAATCGCAACTTGGCAATTCGATTGGCATATTCTTCCTCAATTTTCTCACTCTTTGCCACAGCAATGCGTTTCAACCCTTCAGCTTCTCTTCTAGCATCATCAGCACGAGACTGAAACATTTTAGCCTCTGCCTGTTTAACTTTAACTATACTCTCCAACTCATCAAAACAGAAGTCCTTCTGGATACTACTCATCTGCAACTCTTGCCCAAAAGTTCTCTTATCATTCTGGCCAAAGCTAGGAAGGATATTTGCAGGCCTTTCTAACAGAGGTGGCTTTTCTGAATAAATAGATTTCATCCAAGCCACTTCCTGGCTAGGCCCAGCTACTCCATTGTTTTCTTTAATTTGTTCCTTCCCAGAAAAGTTAGTTGTCGTGGGTAATTTGGAAGGATCACCATCTGCAATGACCATAATGCATGTAAATACACACCCATACAGTTTACCTTTCACAAAAACTAGTTACACAAACGTCAAAAAAAAAATGCTGAAGAAAATCATACTTAGGAATTAGCATGACCTGAGATCTGTAATATCTTAAATTTCTCATAGATCTCATGTCCAAGAACACCACTATATTTCCTCTCGTCAACCTTTTATGGCTTAAAAATCATACATGGGCCATTAGAAAATGAGAAGAGCTAGCAGTAAGACTACAGCATTTCCCCCAGGTTTTATATTCAATACAAATACATGAATATTCTGTACATTCCAAAACATACCAAGTTTAACAGAATGACTTGGTGCAGCAAAATAAAGAGTTCTACTCAGATTTTTTTAACAAAAAGCAAATAAACTATGTTTCTTTTATTCGAAAGTTTTTAAAATCTGACAACTCTAATATTTTTATACCTGTCATTCAGATCAGAAGAATCGGTTTAAGTAACTAATAATTCAGCAAAATAAATATTCATACTCAGATTTTCACCTCAACATAAAGCAAATTAATAACTGTTTCTTTTATTCAAAAAAATTTCAAATCTGACAACGATATTTTTATCCATATCATTCAGATTGAAAGAATCAGATTCAGTAACTAATACTTCCATCCGATTTCTCAAAAAGAAAAGGTATGCTTTACATGATTTATCTATATGTTCTAATTATTGTGGAAAATGGAGACAGGTAAGAAGTCTATAGTTAGAAAAAATTTAACACAACTAATTGGACCAAAGACACTAGTCGGAGTATCTTGATTCAGATATGATCAACAAAAGTTGTACTAAATTATTAATTAATGCGAGCATTTTACATACTGTAAAGTTAGGCTAGAAACATTAAAGCAACAGAATAGGATAAGTATGTATTATAATCATGGAAGAAACTTGTTACTTACTCGTAAGGAAAGACGTGATGTGCCTCAAAACCTCATGAAGATTAGACTTATTTGCCAACCTTGGCAGCATTTGCTCTGCAATCTCGTATAGTTGTCTCCCTCTCATATCCTTGCTGGCAGAAAAAATCCTCTTTACATATTCAAGCTCTTTGCAAAGGGCTTCAACGGACCAATCTTTTGCAAAATTATGAAATACCTCCTTCACAAAGCCAAACATCTCAGAAGGATGATCACAAGCAATACAGTGAAACTGCATCTCCGTCATCCCTTTTGTCCCATGCCCATTTCTAATATAAGATTCCCGTAATCCACAATCAGTATGGCACCAATGAAGGCAAACATCACATCCAACCCAACTACATGTATTTGAGGCATTGTCAAACTTGGAACACACAAGGCACATACATTCCCTGCAAAAACCATTCTTCTGCGCACAAACCTTGCAATCACATTCATCCACGGGCAACTGACTTCGACATGAAAGATTCTTGCACCTTAAGTTCAGAAAAATTTGAGCCAACTCAGAAGATGAAATGCTGTTGTCTAGGTGAAGAAAATGAGTCAAACCAGTTTTTAAAGCAACCAAAATTTCCAATTGCACTCGATGGCATTTCAGCAGGACATCAAAGACTA